AAAGTAAATAAAATAAATGAAGAAAAACTGTTTGTGTATCCTATTATTTAACAGCACTAATTCTTGAATATGCACTTTGAAGGGTATTTCAAATTCTAGTTTTCCCTCAGGGCTGAAATGAAGACCAATAACACTAGAAGCTAAAATGTGTTAGATCCAGCAGCACTCCCGAGTCAGAACATAAAAGTAAAAAAAATTAAGTTAAAATTAAACATTTCATTTCATAAAACAGCAAGTAGAACATTACAGGGATGAAATTCCTCAGCTTTACCATATATTTGGTAGCAGGGATGTAAACAGAGGTGCTATTTTGTCCCTCCAGTTAAGGCTGCCCCCCAAGCCTACTGAGAGGAAGGCGCTCACACAGCGACAGGACATTAGGGGATACACTGCGGACAGCGGCAATGCGGAGAATAACCTCAGATAGGAAGAAGTGGGCAGGGAAAGACACAAAGCAGGCACTGCTATAGAAGGGCGACATTTGAACTTGGCTATAAGTAGGATGACTATTCTTCCTCTTTTCTTCCAATGTATGTCTTCATAACACAGCCAGACAAATCTTTTGAACATGAATCAGATCATGTTCCTCTTTTGCTCAAGGTCCTTCACTGCTTTTCATACCACTTGGGATAAGTCACAAATCTGTCACACAGTCTACGAGAGGAAGCCATCCATTCCGCACCAACTCCAGCCACCAACCCCGTGCTCACTACGCTGCAGCCGTACAAGCCTCCTTCCTGTTCACTTCATTCATCTCTAAGCTCCGGTCTCATACCATTTCTCCCTGAGTGTTTCACACCCAATCTCCTGCTCATTCCCTCAGTACTTACCTTAAGTAGACTGTCCTCAAAGAAGTCTCCTGAGTCCCTCAGCTAAAGTGAAGATCTGTTATACCCTCTCTCTCATTACCCCAACTTTTCCTTTCCTGATATTTGCCAAAGTTTGTATTTGAATCTTTTATTCCGATAAGCATTTGTTTACCCTCAGTCTCTTCCACTCTACTCTGAGCTGCCAGAGCCGGGCACCTGCTTTGTCACCCGTGCTAGCACAGGTAGAGTCAAGACTTACCTGTTCATTGAATGAATAAAATAAAAAAACTGTGACTATATCTTGAAAGTTAGAAGGTGACAAAGTGGTCTGAGAAATTACATTAAAAAGGCTCTTTGGAATGAGAAGAACAAAGCTGGAGGGCTGCTGCTCACAACTTCAAAACTACTATTAAACTAGAGGAGCCGAGACTGTGATATCGACAGGAGCAGACAGACAGGTCAGCGGAGCAGAACAAAGAGCCCAGGAGAGGCACTCGGTCTCTGACAAAGGGGCAAAGGCAATGCGATGTAGCAAAGACTGTCTTTTCAACAGAGTTGAGAAAAACTGGACATCCACATGGAAAAAAACAAAACAAAACAAAAAACAAATCTAGATACAGACCTTATAATTCACAAAAATGAACACAAAATGGATCACAGACTGATCTGTAAAATGCAATACTATAAAAATCTTAGAAGATAACATAAGAGAAAACCTAGATGACGTGAGTATGGAGATATCAGATACAACAACAAAAATACTACACATGAAAGAAATTATAAATAGGCTGGACTTCATTACAATTAAAACTGTCTGCTCTACAAAAGACACAGTCAACAGAATGAAGAGACAAGCTGAGACTGGGAGAAAATGTTTGCAATGACATCTGTTAAAGACTGTTGTCCAAAGTACACAACGTACTCTCAAACTCAACAATAAGAAAACAAAAACACCTGGTTAAAAAATGGGCCAAAGACCGTAACAGACACCTCACCAAAGAAGATACACAGACAGAAAATCAGCACAGGAAGAGAGTTCCATATCAAATATCGGGAAAACGCTAATTACAATGAGGTCCCACTACACATCTGTTAGAATGGCCAAAAACTGGAATGCTAACACCACCATGGTGGGAATTTGGGATGACAGGAAGTCTCATTCATTGCTGGTGGGGATGCAGATGGTGTAGCTGCTTTGGAAGGCAGCTTAGTAGTCCACTGGAAAGGTAAATATACCTGCCACAGACTCCAGCAGTCACCATCCTCAGAGTCTACACAAGGGAGTCAGAACTTAGGTGCACACAAAAACGGCCCATGGATGTTTATATCAGCTTTATTCATAATTGCCCAAACTCAGAGGTAACCGAGATGCCTTTTAACAGGTGAGTGGGGACTTAGACTGGGGCACACCAGGCAAGGGACCACTGCTCAGTACTAAAAGGAAGGGAATTATCAGCCATGAAAAGAATGGAGGAACCTTAATTCTTTCAAAATTAAAGAAGCCCGTTTGAAAAGGATACATAATGCATGCTTCTATTACATGACATTCTGGAAAAGGCAAAACTGTTGAAACAAGAAGATCAGTGGTTGCCAGGGGTTCAGAGGTAGGGGGAATGGATGAATAGACGGAGTCAGAGGATGTTCAGGGCAGTGAAAATACTTTGAGTGATATTGTAATGGTGGATTTATGTCATTATACCTGTGTCCAAACTGATAAAATATAAACACCAAGACTGCTACGTGGACTACAGATTTCAGGTAATTCTAATGCGCCAATGCAGGTTTACTACTCGTAAAAGATGAGCCGTGGTGAGTGACTATAACAGGGGCCCATGCCTGTGTTGGGGGTGGGGACATAAGGAAAACTTGTACACCTTCCTCTTAAGTTGTAAACCTAAAACTGATCTAAAAAAAAATCTTCTAAAAAAGGGTAGTTTGCCAAGAGAAAGAAAAAGAGACTAACAAATGATAGACATCTACTATGCATCAGACATGATGTTGAGCATTTCCATATATTTCATTTTACATTTAAATAGTCCAATGAAGGGGGAATTGTTCAACCCATTTTCCAGATGAGCTTGAGCTTTGATTTCTTGACTAATAAATCTTGAAACAGAAAAGAAAGCATGTGAACTATTTGGGAAAAGTAACAGAGTTTTAGACAAAAAGTGGCTACAGGAGGCTTTTTGGAGAAAACATCATTTGAGTGAAAGTCCAAAGGAAGTGGGGGCGCTGGTTTGGGAGAGCAGTCCCAGCAGAGCGAGCGCCCTCTGCAGACCTGGAGGTCAGCAGGAAGACCTTACTAATTACTCAGGGACTAGGGCAGATTGCAGAGAACACAGCCCACCTTGACGATTTCAAGCCTAGAGACTCCGTGAGGAAACAGTGACAGTAAAATGACTTCCTTTTTTCGGTCAGCACAGGAAGCGAATGCATGAATGTGCAGGAAGGGACAGAAGATACACGCTCTCCTGAGGTCCCAATGCCAGTCTGTCTGCCAATCTAATGAGGCATCACAGAGGGAGAGCTGAGCAGAGGTGCATTTGATACATGAACATGTGACCAACACTAGACAGATCACCGGCCTTTAGCTGTATTTCAGTTGCACAGTAAAATATGAAAACCCAAACCACGTGCAGCTTTATACATTTGAGGCACTATCCCAAGTCACGTGAGCTGAGTTATTAGCAGTGTAACGCTATAGTCCTGACCATGTATAATTAAGCAGACAAACCCCATCCAGACGACATAAAACGAGGCGAAGTCCACAGCTGGGCAACGTGTTCATGAGACGGCTACTCCGTATGACGGTTACGTTTTGCGTCAACCTGGCTAGGCCACGGTGCCCAGTGGTTTGGCCAAACGCTAGTCAAGATGTTGCCCTGAAGCATTCTGGCGGGATGCACACGCACGCGCAGCCGACCTAAGGAAAAGCCATCCTCAGGGAGGGCCCACCGGGTGCGAGGAAGGCCCTCGGCCAGCGCACCGAGGCTACTGGGGCCAAGGCGCTGCGCCTCCGGCTGCCGCGGGGCCTCCTGAGCTTCTGGCCTGGCGCCTGCGCTACGGCCGACCCACTCGCCGCCCCAGTCATGAGCAAAGTCTTTAAAATAAGTCTATATCCGCGCCGTGTCTCTGCCTGCTTCTCGGGAGACCCCTGACGGACACACTGCCTCTTTCGTGCGGTCCGTGTGCTCCTATGGGTGTTCACCTGACCTCCGAGAGCTTCAGCCCCTCACTGAGATGTGAGGACAACTTCATACACACCCTCGTAGGAAGGGCTGCCGGCTAGCAAATGCTCCGCGAGCGTTCTCCGCCTGGGCCTGGCACACAGTGCCATCTGACCGTGGTACACGGCACGGTGCTGACACACACATGCTGATGCTGAATACGTTTAAAGACATTCGGTTATGATGTTACTTTACACCAAAAAATAAGAACGTTTTCTTACATCTATCTCACACTTGAAACGCAAGGACACTTGTCAAACACTACCCTGCTTACAGCCACGTTCTCCCCTATCGAACAGAATCGCCTGCGGGATTATTCCACGCAGGGCCCTGTCCACAGGTCACCGACCCCAAACTCTGCCCGACAGACACTGTGATGGAAAAAATAAAATGAAGATATACACATGAAGAACATTAACAATCTAAATGAGCTGCTTCACTGCTAGTTTTCTAAAAAAATTTATTGTACAGAAGAAAAAAAATATACCCATAAAACTACACACTTTTATGCTCACAATTCTAATTTATAAGCAACCAATGTTGGTTTTAATTGTACTATATCACGATTGCCCTAATTTGAGATGAAATCCTTCCTAAGACAGACTAAATAAAACAAAATGGAAGAAAAAAACGTAAACAGAATGTATCACTTTTTCATAGTGAATGCTTATATTATTACTTGCATATAAGAAAAATTAAGAATGATATAAATTTACTAAGTTAGAAGGTTTGATTCTTTAAGATTAAAATACGTGCCTGAACATGTTGTGTTGTTACACATAACCCTCCAGTAGAAATAAGTCCTTTGGAGCTACCCTGGAAAGTTCAGCTCTTCTCCTAAAGCTGAAGAGACAGTACTAAGGCAGTGACCGATGACAGTAACGTTGAGCCTTCAGCCGCATCGTCTGCATCAATAAGAAGCGCAGCCCCGATTTCCCGCGCTCAGGCCCCCCGAGCGACTCACCTGTGCGAGACGGCCCCCCACGCCCCGTGCTTGTTGGTGAGGATGTTCAGGATCTTCTGCTTCAGCTGGTTGGCGGTGACGTGGTCGCGGTGCTTGGCGGCGCTGATGAGGTGGTCGCACATCTTCTCCTCCTCCCTCCGGTCGGCGGCGTACTGGGCACACTGCGACTGCGGGGACAAGGGCAGGGGGTCGGCACAGGGCAGGGGTCGGCAGGCTCCCCGGGTCAGCGGGGCTCTAACTCCAAGTTCAAGGATGATGAACTCTGATGATACAATTTTTTGAAACTTTATTCTAAAGAACACACATAGTTTGAAACTTGTTCGAATGTGTTCTTTGCCTGTGTGTAGACCTCCGTATATGTAAAATAACCTGGAGAGTGTTAGCTCTGTATTCATGCCCATTAGTATTAGTAACATAGCTAATTACTCTGGGTATCAAAAGGTTCAAGATGATCTTTTCTTTAATCATATTTGATTTTTTTTAAGTGATAACTTTGATATAGGGTAGATTGACTATAAATTTTATCATTACCAAATATGTAATGTGAGTCATATAACTAGGAAGAAAAAAATCTAAATAGACACTTAGAACGAGTTCATTGCATCACTACTGTGGGAAAAGCTGGCTCAGAGAAGGTGCCTGATCTTCCATCCACCTATGGTCATAAACCACAGTCACTTGTCTAGAGACAACCCACAGTCATCTGAAAGGGATTAATTCACAGTCCAAGCCATCTTTTTTACAGGGAACCACCAATTAGTACAATGATCTGCCTCCATAATGAGGTTAATATTTCATTAGCTCATTAGAGAATAAAATTAAATTTCCATTTGTCTTCCTTAACAATTACAGTGGTTAACTAAGAAAAACTTAATCATGAAGCACCCATCTCACATTATATATACTTTTTCTCTTAATTACAGGCTTATATGGAAGACAGAAATTCCTCAAAATGTCCCAGTAAAATGTCATGACTTTCATAAAATATTTTACAATTTAGAAATGATAACTGTTTGGTGAACTACATACATAATACCCCTCACCAATGCCTTTACTAATATAGCTTTAACTTAAAAAAAAAAACCAGACATGTGGATTTAAAAAATGTACATTCATTAAATAACAATGGCAATGCACTCAATGAATTTGTCAGGGTTTTCCGTGTCCGCGACCTACCAAGAGCACTGGCCCTCAGTCCCCGGCAGGCGCCTGTCACCTCGCACGCCGCGTCAGGGGCCATCTCATCCCCAAGGGTGAGAGTCGGTGCTGGGCGGGTGTGAAAAACCTACTCTTTTTGTACTTAAAGCAGACATGCCGAGTACTGATGGTAACACAATACCACTGGGAAACCATTAGGACAAACACTGCCTGAAAAGACTCCTGAGGGGGCAATAATGAAAAAGGTTGAAAAGCGTGCACTTACCTAATAACATTTTGAGTAAATGTGCTTAAAGCTAGTGGTCAATATCTATCTAGCTTCGTAAAATTCTGTTTTAAATATTTTCACATGACAAATATTGATCTCTTACATCCCTGTAACATACCCGCTTTTCTCAGTAGAAACACAGGTGGGACAGTCAGCTGCACTGCGCACGGAGGGGACGCAGGAATCAGTCAGCAGCAGCACCAGTGAGCGGTGCCCTCAGCCGAAACCTGCTCCGGCCTGACCCTGAGTCACGGAGTCACACCGACCCTGCTGCAGCTCAGTTAGCACTCTAAATCTCTTTTACTAGCAGACGGCAACAATTACTTGAATATCTTCCGTTCACGGTTCTGATGTGTTTGATACCTAAAGGCATTCTTCCATACCAGTGTCACTATACTGTCACCCAGATCACAGCGTGGCATCCTGATCAATATCCACGTGCTGCTATTGTTCAGGTGATGCAGACCACTCCGACCAACACTTGTTCCTGTACTTTAATGTAAGTTTAAGATCCTGGGGCTTTTCCACGACGAGAGTCGGGGCTCCCACAGGATGCCGCCCCGCTGACAGCGGGCAGAAGCAGCCACCCCCCCTCCTGCGCTCAGCTGCCAGGCCAGAGGTCAGCAGACCCAGGGCATCAACTCCATGGGAAGGGAGCTGGTGCAGGAGATAAGAGCCTCGTCAGGGCCCCAGGGGACTGGCCCAGGGCAGGTGGCGGGCTCTGCACCCCGTCCAGGCCGTGCACCCCCGTGTGAGCCGCCGCCAGCTCGCGCAGACTCCCTGAGCCTCTTTTGTTCTGCTAACGGAATGCACTGAAGGAACTGTTATATTCAAAACACTAAAACCAGGACATGTGTTGACTTGAGGGAATATAAATAATGGTGGATAATTACTGACATGTTATAAATATAGACATTTAGATTTCAAATGAGTACTATGGAATATAGTTCTTCAACATCCTTTACTGTTTACATATAAAATAGAAATGCTAGTGGATTTGTTCTTTACTCAAAGCACTTAGAGGATTTTAAACGATTACATTTCCATGTACACAGAGACCTACATGTATACCACACAACAGCGATGCTTCCATTATCAATAAAATACAAGTTATAACAGCGAAACATGAACTGAAACTCTCTGTGGCCACGCTAAAGATGGACACACAAAAAATTCATACCTGAATGTTCAGTGAAACGGACTTTCTTTATACAACCTCTTGTGCCACATCTAACGGCAAGGAAACTGGCACGAAAACTGCTCATTTGAAAGCGAGGGGTGACTGCATTACCAGCTGCACTGGCCTCAGGAAAAGCCGGAGGAACTCAGTCCACCGAGGGGTTAGGGCCGGGGCTGGAGGGGCTCCTCATGCTGGGAGCGAAGTGAGAATAAACCACTGCTCGGGGTCTGACATTTACTCCAGAGCCGAAATGCAAACTGCTCCTCTTCAAAACACGCCCCTTAGCGTCGGGTTAGCGCGGCCACGGCTCGCCTACGGCAGCAGAGCAGAACCGACCTGCTGCAGAACCGACCCTGCTGCAGACCTCACCTCGAACTCCGCGTGCTTGTGCACGTCCTCGGCCCGCTGCCTGTTCAGGATGAACTCGGCCTCGTTGGCGACGCGGACGATGTGGTCCTTCATGGCGTGGCACAGCAGCCTGGGGAGAGAGGCACCGCGGAGGTCACACCCAACACACGGGCAGGCCCACTTTCTCCATAATCAGTCTTCAGCGTTGACCAGCACTGATTATGCATAAATTTCAGATAGAGCCACATTATAAAGTTAATGTCGCTGAAATAATTCAGCAGTATTTGAAAGACAGAACTATGCTATAAAACTGCTACCGCAATGCTTCTGTTACATACAGTGTGTCTTGTGAACAAACCACTCAGTGAATTCAATACAGTTAGTTAATGCAGTCAAAATAAAGAGTTTTTGATGGAGTGTCTGAAGTGGTTAAAACAACAGAATTCCCTATCTTGGAAGTAAATTTTTCATACAAAAGCTAGATGGCCATATATGAGGAAGTCTATACACTGGTTTCCTACTTTAATAAAGATGACAGAGTCTAATCACTAGGCTGTACACCTGAAATTAATATCATATTGTATGTCACTTGTAATTAAAAAATAAAAATGATTTAAGGTAAAAAAAAATAGATGACAGGATTAAATGGCATCTGAAATTCATTTACATGCTAAGATTCTAAATTCTAAGATAAAGCTACAGTGAAATAAAGTTTAAAAATGTAACCATGGGGTAAAGATATTTAACAATAAAAGTTATTAAATTATTCAAATCGTTTTTGAAAAGTGCAGCAAGATGCCCAGGGAGAAGCCTGTCACTACACCCCCTGACCCCCACCCCGGATCCAACCCCACAGGCACCGCAGCCACTGGACCCTTACGTATATATTCAGAGAGTTTTAAACTACGCATAACAAAACACAAATATATTTTTTTACCACTTTCTTACACTAGTATTACTGTACTATACAGTTTTTCTCTATTTAGCTTTTCGTACTTGGCAATTTATCCTGGAGACCCTTCTGTATCTGTAGTATGGGCAGGAGTGGTCTCCGGAGAGGCTCAAACTAGCTCCCATCCTGCAGGGTCCGCTGCAGGGGATTTTGCCAGGGCTCCGCCCAACAGGGGAGTCTGTGTCCCCCAAGCCCAGGGCTTCCCTGTGGCCACTAGGACACAGAGCAGTGCCATCGTGTTCCTTCGAGGCAGGGTGCAGGATGCCCTGCGGCCCTGCATTCTCTCAGATGCCCTGTGGCCCTGCCCTCTCTCCACGCCCTGCGGCTCTGCCCTCCCTCCATGGCCCTGCCCTCCCTCCATGCCCTGCGGCCCTGCCCTCCCTCCATGGCCCTGCCCTCCTAGGAACTCTCCCTCTGGAACCCGCTGCCACGCTGAGGAAAGCCCGCAGCACACGAGACCAGGGACAGAGGTGCGCAGGCTCCCAGCGAGGGGGGCTCTGGACCGAGAGCCCCCAGGGAGCTGCAGCTCCGGACAAGAGCCGCTGAGCTGAGCCCAGGCCCGGAGACTCGTGAGAGAGTGAAGAACAAATAGCTGTCAGTTTAAGCCACACGATGATGAAGATCATAAAAACTACGACCACACCATGTACCGAGAGCTAGGTAACAGAAGAGGTCATTTACACATAATACTTACTCCTCAGGGATATCGACCATTATCTTCATTTTTAAATGTAAGAAAACATATTTAGAAAAATTAAGTTCCTTACCCAAGATCATAATTTTAAAAATAAATTATAATGATTTTATATTTTGCATTCTATCTTCAATAATCAACAATTTATTTTTAAAGTCAAACTTCTTAATTGTGTTCACTCCTGCGACCCTCCTGCGGACTTTCTGGCCAATTGACAGCAATGACTAGGACTTCTCACAAAAGTAGGTTACAGCTGTGAGTACCTGCAGCCCGGTTCACTGCTGTATTATTGTTATTGATTACTGATCGATTATTTTCTATATGAACAGCTGTATACTTTTGTCCCACCCTGCATTTTCTTTCCCAATAAGCAATTACTCTGTTCAAAAATATAATCAAAGAATATTTGAAAGTTAACTCATAAGTCACTCTTCTCAGGTTTTTTTTTGGAAGGGCAAACTTATGAAGTAATTTCCACTCCTTTACCTAAGTCCTTTTAAAAATCTAGTTCCAATACTGTCGATTCAGTATTTAGTTTTGCTCATTTTAAACAAGAATGCTGTTTTCAAGATCACCATTGGCTGCTATTTTCATTGCTCACCACTGAAGTGAATCTTCACTTTTTTTCTTGCTCACATTGTCATAAATTTCCATCAGAATGAGCTAGGATTAAGTTTGTCCTCATTTTTGCATTCACTGAATACCAACTTATAGTAACTACATTTCTCCTTCCTTCCAGACTTGCCTTCTTCACTGATGAGTATGTACAAGCAAAAGAAAAGAATTATGTATCCTGATATTCCTAAACTATGGTTTACAATATAATTTTTAAATCCTCACCTGAGGATATGTTTTTATTGATTTTAGAGAGAGGAAGGGAGAGAGAGAGACATCAAGGTGAGGGGAACACAGCGCTCAGTTGCCTCTTATGCCTGATGTTTTCTCTTCATGCAGAAGGCCATCTTTTTATCTGACTCAGTCAGTCTAGGCGACTTCAGTATCCACGTGGAAAAGCACCCATCAGTCCAAAGAAACACGTCTCAGCCTTTGCAAGGAGGGGTGCATCTGCACAGCCCTGCCCACACAGCCGGCGGGCTCCACTCCGCCAGGACTCTGACCCCAGAGGCTGAGGGTCAGGGGAGGTGGGAGCTCAGGGCCCCCCGGCCTGCCTGCGGCCCTCCAGACTGCAGCCGGGCACAAGTGTTTACAGCCATAGGTGTGCACCGCTCCTGTCCCTGCTGTTCCTCCTGAGCTTTCTGGTGCGCCTACTGTTTGCTCCAACTATCACATGTCAGCTAGGCAGTGGCCACGAGGACCAAGGACGTGAGTCTGTAACTGTGTTCCACAAACGCCCTCAGGGAACCAGCCTTGCCCACATTAAACCGGCCAGAGCAAAAACAGTAAAAGTCTGTGCGAGTGAGGCCCGCTGTGCTGCCTCTGATACAGTACTTGTAAACCTATTTCTCAAATGGCTCCCATTCAACTGGGCAGCAAAGAATGAATGGGACTGGGGTACGTTACAATGTCGGTTATCCGTCTCCTCCCATGATTTCTGAAAATGTTCTGATGCATATACAATTACCAATAACTATTTTTTTCTCAATATTTTAAAAATATTATGTTACTTTCTTCTAACCTTTATTGTTTTTGATTTTTCTTTTTGTTCATACCTGTTAGTTTTGCGTTTATCTCCTAATCTTTGACAGTCTACACTGTCGTACCAGACATCTAGGATGCTTTCTTCTTCTTACCCGACTTTACATTCTGATTCCCATCCCTCCGCAGTCATGTTTCTGATCAGTTCCAAAACATTCACAACCACCCCCTTTTAGAACATTTCACCTGCTGCACGCTCCTGATTTTCCATTCTGGTTTGTCATTAAACTTTCTCATCCACCTGCGTATCTGTTACTGCTACTTCCATTTGTCATCTCTTTCTCTCTCTGCATTCTGGATACATTTTTAAACTACATGTTCCAGGTCACTAATTCCCTCCAACTTTGTCTAATCTGACAAATAGTCAATACATACTTTTTTTTCAAAATTATATTTTTGAATTCTACAAGTTTCAACTTTTAAAATCTGCCCATCATTTTATTTCCTGTATTCACAATTGTAACCTTCACAGTCCTTGGAGATACAGATTTTTGGCGTTTTCTTATTGATGTTCACAGAAAGTGGCTTTCAATTTCACATACTTGGTCATCTGTGTGACCTCATTTGTGGTTTTACTGTGAGACCAATGGAACCACCGTAGGTATGTGTCTACTTTTTCTCTGCTGACATGAAGGAGTGCCGACTAGGACACTTAAGGACCCTCTCTTAAGGATGTTGGCTTATCCTGAAATTTCCAGGCGAGATTCTTTACTTAATTTCTGGCTGAAAGTCTAAAATCCCCAAAGCACTGGTGTGTTAGGTGTATGGCCCCAGGGCATTCCGCACCCGAGGCACCAACATACGGGGCGGAGGGTGGCCCGGAGAGCTCCTAACCCTTTGTTAAACCCGCACTGCCCTTGTGGAATCCGAATGTCCACAGCAGAAGGAGCCAACCCGCACAGCTTTAACAGACGTCCCTATTCATCGTCAACCCACTGAAATGTGACTTTAAGATAACCCTACGCCAAAGCATCACGGTTTGTCAATTTCACTTCAATATATTTTAATATATGTATTCACTTTATTAACATTGCTTTAATTTAAGCCGTAGTCACCTGTCATTTGGATTACAATAGCTCCCTAATTTTTCTGCCTCTTCCAAATCCTATGTTTTCCAATACACTTTCCCACTAGTGTTATTTACAATTAAATTTCTTCAGTGAATATATGGAATAGACAAGATAAAAGACAAACTTATTCTGTGTAGACGTCTGCCCACTTCTCCAGACGGATCTGCAGCCACTTTGTCACGTGCTGTGTCCTCGTACAGCCTCTGCGGCTCCTGTGAGGGGACGGGCTTTGGGGCCCTGTGCCTTTTTCCTGGCCTGGGGCCTCCCCGCCCCCCAGCACTGGGAGAGCTCAGGACTCCCACGCAGGGGCCTCGTAAGGCTTGCTGCATGCCAATGTCTGCGTCTGCTCCCCCCTCTCTCCCGGGGTTTGCCAGGTGAGCTGCGTGCTGATCTGCTGCGTCCCCCACGTCCCGCAGCCCGCGCGGTGCCCCGGAGGCCGCCAATCCCCGCAGTGAATGGACACGGTGGAGGAGGCGGGGCAAAGCACATTTCAGCTTTAATGATCGGGCAGTTTCTTTTTTATGTTGGTTTTTTTTTTTTTTTTTTTTTTTTTTGGTATGTGCCCCGAGCCGGAACCGAACCGGGACTCTCTGGTCCGCAGGCCAACGCTCCAACCGCTGAGCCAAACCGGCCAGGGCAGGTAGTTTTTTAACTATAAAACCCTGATGTGTTCAGCACACAGAAAATGAGGTGAAGAAAAATACCCGAAGAGTCAGGAACGTTCGCGAACATTCCCCCTCCCAGATCCACACGACGTG